TAATTTTGCCATCTGCCTTTCACTTGTCTTACCTTCTGTCTCAGCTTTCCTCTGCTAGCCCCAAGCTCAGCTCGCTCATGCATTGAGGGGTTTGGCGGCGAGGAGTTGAGGCTGACGTGATAAGAGGGGGCAAGAGTGAGGGCTGAAGACAGTTCATGTTTTAAAGAGTCTGGCACAGAAATGAGCTGACCTGCTGCTGCAGAAAGAGCCTAATTAGTCTAGATAACGACTGTCATAGCACACTGATAAAAAGAGGTTTTGGTACACACACATACCTTAACAGGGAATGAGGTATTAATGTCATGCTGATGCATCTGGCCCTGTGCGAGTGGGCTGTATGTCTCTGCTCTCAGTAAATACCGGGAGGCCAGCATCAGTCACTGCTACTACACTGGTCCTGTGAGAAGGCAACATTCTTCACAACAGAGCACAGACCACCCGCACACCCACGCCTGACTAAACTTTGTTAACTAACATTTGTCCAGACTCCCTGCGATGCTCGAAAAAGTTCTATCGGGTATATGCAATGTGGAAGTAAAACTAAACTCGAAGATGTTATGTGCCAGGATAGCTGTTTCCCTGTTTTTTCCCCAAAAATGTTGAACTATTTAACACCTTAACGTAGCATTAACTAGTACTAATAAGTAAGTAATATGTGTCTGTCTCAATGTCGGACTTCAAATCTGTCAATTGTGAGAAGTGAAACCAAAGACAATTTTTTCAAATTATGGTCAACTGACAAACTGACTGGCGGTGAGATCGCTGTTGCTTTTGTCAGTCAAAGTAAAATATGTTGGATGACATTCTGGAGTTCGGTATTGAAAGTAAATATTGAGAGTTGTGCATTAATATTTCAGAGGACTTTAGCAGTGTTAACCCCTCCCAGATCCTTATACATATGTATCCGTGGTCCATTTCCATCTGGACTTATAATGATCTAACCTTGGCAAACACCACACCACAACCTAATACATACATACATGAATACAAAAAGTCAGACTGGTGTGTTCCTGGACTGAGTAAACAAGGTCATAACTGATCTGACATTATAAGCAGCTTAGATGTACCAGAGAGCTACACAGTCCATCCATCTTACCATATAATCAATAGCCACGAGGCCGCTGATGAGGAATGAAGTGAAGTGGAAAGTGCGTTTCACAAACTGGTGTGGTAACTGTGGAGTCTATATTCTACATGGCCTTAGAGAAAACACCGACACTGGGCTCTGTTACTGAATGAAGAGATCTTTGTCCCACCAACAAAGACGTATGACAGACGGGAGTGATTGCTGATTCACTTACTAAAGCTTTTCAAATCAAATAATCCCTGTGCATCATATGATTACGTACAGCCTTTCTATTTTAGGTTAAGTAAAATAAATTTAAAACAAACAAAGATTTAAAAGAACTACATCAAACCACACAAAAAGAGATGCAAACTAACCAAACAACATGAGATTCCAAGCATGTGACATACATAAGGCACAGCCTACACATAAAACATGTAAACCAACCCACAAAATAACATGCCTGCATAAATGCACTGTGCATGAACACATGGATAAAACATTGCTGCCCACATCCCTTAGAAAAATAATTCACATATGAACACAGGGCTCCCAATCAATTTTTCCCCCACAGACACTTCTTGCGACGCATGTTATGCAAGATTGACGTATTTCTTTCATCAATAAAGTTGATGATGTCGACGAGTCACATCAGCCCTAGTTCAAATGCTCACAAGTATCCTGGTTATGATGGAGTGTCCCAGGTATGTGTTACACATAAACATATCCTGGATTTAGAAACCTGGACGGAGACACAACTGCACACAAATGACCAGAAACCTGGATATTGTTCCTCATGTTTCATATAAACCTCATGGATCCCGGTGAGATTAACACTAGGACATGGCATAAAACTGCGATACTCGTGCCCATGTACACACACACACACACACACACACACACACAATGTAGCCAAACACACTAGGCATGTGTTAATGACAGATAACTCAGACAAGGGCATCGGCTTACATCGATGTAGCAAAGTTAGGCCGAGGAAATCAAAAGGACGGCGTCGCCTAAAATCATTTAGAAACCAACAGATCCTCCTCCTTTCCCTCACTGAACCGGCAACCTGTAGCAGTTACACATACAAACACACACACAGACGTAAACAAGGGTAGAAAGAGGTGTTGAAAATCATGAGGATTGCTTTAAGGAGACCTGGGATGGGAAAGGAAGAAAATATGTTTTCAAAAATACAAACCGCGTAGACTAAAAGGCTACTCCAGTGAACTTTCACAGTGTCTTATCTACCTCAACTGGCCTCCCATCTCTCCTGCCAAACATTCTGGGGGCGGTCCAGTGTTTCAGCCTGGGGTCCAGCCATAAAGGCACCTCATGAATCCCAGTGATCAAAGAGAAAGCTCACTAACCAACTTGGTCCATGTTGAGCTTCTGGCTTCGCTCCAGCACACCCCTTTGTCATCCAGACCCCTGTTGTTGTTGTGAAAGCGCTAACATACGTTTCTGTGAACGCATATGTGTATAACATCAAAGTCATAGAATTCTCATCACAGCACATGCTAGGAGCATGTGATGGCCACAGAGGTGAAGTGAAACCAGAGCAAGGCTGCCGGAATTTTAGTTTTGTACACTTGGTACAACAAGTCCGATTGGACAAAGTTTATTCGATACAACGGGAAATTACAATAAATGATACGCAAACCATTTAAATGCTTTCGGCTGTGTTGTTGCATTTAATCTCTCATCTGCTTTGGGTTCACACTGGCTTATGACAAGTCATGTCAAGTCATGTCAAGTCATATGGCCTGGTGTTTCATCCTGGCCCGCTACCTGAGAGGGAAATGCCCGTGGCGGCCTCTACAGTACAGCTCCTCATGCTGAAGGCTTCCTTTAGTGACATACCACAGATTACACAACTATGCCACTGTATGGCCCTCCATCCCTCAGCTATCTGCTACTGTAGCCATGAGGCTGTCAGCGACCCCCTTCCCCCACCTTTTTATACACACACAGGGCTTCCACATAGTTTACGCACATGCTGAGCACTCAAAGTCACGCACACCAGCTTTGTATCTCCAGTACGCTGGGAGGCAAAAGCCTGGTTTCACACTCACGGTTGGCTATACAGTACATGCACAGGAACACACACACAACTCAGAATAATGGTTGGCTGGCTTAAAGAAAGGCCACATGACTAAGTGAACTACACAACAGTGCTTGCCTTCACTACTGTGCTCCCACATGTGATACACAACGGCAGCGTAGTCAGGAGACTGTTACCATAGAGCTGACAGCAAACAACTTCTAATAGGCTAGCTAACGCAGGACATTAACTTGGGCGATTGTGATGATGCTTTCAGTGGCAATTTCTCGATTTGTTTTAGAAACTTTATGCAACATCCATTCACACTTACGGCACGTAATTCAAAAAGGAGAATGGGAGACAAAATGATGAACAATCAACAAAGGCTCTTCAGCAGAAGGATGAATATTCTGATGTCTCTGCTCATTGTAAGCAAAGATGGCAATGAAAAATTTGCCTCGACTCCCACTTACATCCCCATAGACCAAAACATTAAATGTACCTATTCAGCTGGGTTACATAAAAAGTACCAGTGGGTAAGAATGCAACAGCCCACAGTCCGTTTAGTCACACAGGCCAACATTAGGCCCCTGCATCCTTACAGCAAGGCTGGAGTCACTGACTGTAGCAAACTTAGCGTGCTCCAACCAGAAGACGCAGAGACCTGAGGTATAAATCCTTCACTGAACGCAACTTTAAGGCAGTTTAAATTGGCCACCCTTCAATGCTTCACAGAGGATTTAAGACTGACCCTGGCTTAGTCCCTTCTCTCTCTCCAGGTTACACTGACACACACACTTAAAGTGCCCAGCATCACCACAGCTCTGCAGTGTTAAAGGACGAGCAGACCCACTGACACAATCTGAGGTTATGGGGTAATTACCAAATAAAGAATGGGCAATCCTAGATAAATACAGATTTTGCATTATTTGTGTTATATTTGTATGTCCTGAGTTGTATAAGATGAATTGATACATTTTGGAGGAATATATTGCCGTTATTAAAAAGTGAAGAGTAGACTAATGGCAGGAAAGGAGAGAGATGAGGAGAAATAAAATTACAAATAGAGTAAACAATTAGTCAAGTCAACAGCTTTCCACTCAAGATCAATCTCGAAATCTACCCATATAATGTCACGTACTCTGTTATAAGAGTGAGAGAGAGTGTGCGCTTTCAGAAACCTGTGGTTAACTGTGACTTGTGCTTGATACAAATGGCTTTTTTGTGTTTGAGACTGTGTGTAAACACAGAAGGTCAGTGTTGAGTAGCTACCAGAGGAAAACCTTGAATTTGAATCTGCAGAGTTTGTACAAGCCTTCGTGCTGTACGGATATACTCCTCCTAGTCACAATGAAACAACTTTGAACCTTTAAGTGATAGAATCTGCTGCTGCCAAAGCACAGTTTACCACACATTAAAATGGTAGGATTAAGAAAAGCCATTGATCTTCATAAGCAGTTCTGCTGGCACTGACATTAATATGTTCTAGTCATTCTCCTCCTCGTGAATAATATGCATGGCTAATTCAATTAACAAGCAATATATCAGCTAACATTCAAATAAGGGGAGAAAAAAATACAAAATAATTAAAACCTCAATTTCTGGTGAAACAATGATTCACTTTCAGCGTGAATCTAATGTAAAAAGGATTGACCTAAAACCCAGCAGTAATTTGATTTAGCGTGTCATTCTTTTGGCAAAGGAAACGTTCACACATGTAAACATTAGTGTAAACATTAGCGGGAGAATTAAGGGAGATGCGCTGACATGTGACTTTGACTTGCAACAGCACAAGCAACACATATATAGATAGACAAACACATAAAAGCCATTCAAACACAGAGAGCAGAGTAAGGCGGAGAGAAGAGAGTTTCATTCGTCCCCTACCTGAGACACAGATGAAGGTCATGTAGTCTCCTTGCCCACCAGTGGCCAGGAAGGGGATCTTCTTCTTGGTCCTCCGCTTCACCTGCACAGCAGCAAGCATCTTCTCGTCGTGGGGTGTGAATACCACCTTGTTGATGGCTGACTTGGCACTCATCTCCGAAGTAAGCAGGGGTTAACAGCTGGTGAACAGTATAAGTGGAGAGGACACGATCCACTCTTCCTGAAGGGGGGGGGGGGGGAGAACAGCAAACTAAATTAGTAGAAATGATAGACCAGGCTAACTACTTACAGGATTGTACCCAAAAGTCTGACCATCTCACTCAAAAAACACCTTCTCACTTGCCTCTACCGGCCATCCAGATAGTTTTGGTTGCATTTGTTCATTTAAATATACAACTTCTGTGATTATCTACAATAACAAGGACACTTGTTCTGGAAAGGGATGTAGCATGGATTTCTTTTGGAGACAGAAGTCTTAAAGTAGGTGTCAGCCTTTTTCCAAACTTTATAACACATTATAGTACAGATGTCACATTTTAAGATATAATGTAATCATTTAAAACTTGAAACACAGTTATGACTGAAATGGCATTAATGCAATCGTATAAACTGCTTCTACAAACTTTGTTAAATAACTTGTCTCCATCATTGGCACAACTCTTTCTGAGCAATAAGACCAGTGATGTGACTCAGAGAGGATATCTATCCAACACCACCTCTACTAATCACCACAGCCTGTATTCCACTTCCACCTCTTCACAGGTTGTATGTCTGTGTAGTGAGCAGTTAAAGTATAAAAAATAAAATACACTAGGTACAAAACACTTAAGGTGCAGAAGAGATTATGTCGCCTGATCCCCCCCCCAGCAATATATGCTAGTGTGGGGTACAAAAGTCGGTACATTTATGGCTACCGTCTTACATGTGCTTCCTAGGGAGGTGTTTTATTTTGTGGTGGTGTGTAAAATGTTCTAAATAATTAACAATCTTGAAATTGAGAAGAGGCAACTTCTTTACAACTGAAATTACTGTTTTATTATTACAAAGAGATGTACCAAAAGAAAAGGTACCGTTGGGTTCCGGTACCAGTTCAGATGTGAACAGTACCCAACCCTAAAAAGCAACAGGCCTTGCTGAATAGCCCTGAGTTTGTATTGTTGTCCACCATTGTATGTTGTTACTGCGTGCTGTTGTATGTACTGCTGTCGGGTGTGTACAATGCTGTGGAAACAAATCTCCCCTTGGTGGACAATATAAAGTATACAGTAAAGCAGAATATAGGTTTTTGTCCTTGTTTTTGAATCAATCCTTGTGTAAAAGATAACACAAAGAGCATGAAGTGAGCAGGAGAAATCGGTGTGTTCAATCGCTCCCCTCGGTCTCCAAAAGTACACACAGCCAATCTAAATCCATAGCCTCTCCACTGCTCACGGTGTACAGCATGTTAAAAGTAATGACAGAGGGAGTTAAAAAGCTCCAAAATGGAGAATGGTTACGTCTCTCAACGCTCCATCTCTTTAAATGTGTTGTCGATGTTCCTCCTGGAAGCACTGCCACGCGCAGCGATGAAATGACTTCAGCTGAAGCTGTTGAAAGTACTGGAAAGTCTCCCTGATACAGAGCAGCAATCATGTTTCTATTATTACCAACCAGTGTCTGCTAGGGAATTCATTTCTTGGGGACTGGGAGTATACCACGGGAGACACAGCAGTGTGTCTGACTGTGTCAGGGAAAACTGGGCTTGAATGCGGGATACAGTCATAAAGAAGAGAGTTAATTAGGTCCAAATGCTCTCATGAGGACCATGAAGCTTAATCATTTTCTCAGCCACACACATTCAATTGAGACACACAAGCACTCACAACCGCATACCGCACAGGCCACTCTTTCGAACCGATCTATCCGTCAGTCTCAACCAGCCAATTACTTGCTCTACTGTGAGGCAAAGCCAGCCACACTCCAAAAAAATGCCCTCATCAAACTGGCTTGCTAATAAATAACACAGGCACAAAGTTGTTTTCTAACGGGCGCAGCGAGCTTTTAAATGAGTGTTCAGCAGCTGAGGAGGAGGCGAGTGGGGGAAAAGTTTCGTTCACTGGTGCTCATAAAAGCAGAACCTGCCGGGGTTCAAGGTTTACATGGACAGTAAAAAAAAAGTGCACGAGCTAACTTCTCCGCCCCCAAACTTAGCGGCTGAAAGGCTGTCATTGTTGACTGGTGGTCATTGTTGAAGTCAGATTACGTCAGGCCAGAACACGTTGAAGCGCAGTGGCACAGAAAAAGCTTTTCACAATACCGTGGCTGCAATATAATGCAATCTAATCAATAGCCCCATGCTAAGTAGTACCGTCATGACGCTGTTATTGTTGCATTTCTGTTGAGTGCGTCAGCTTTATGGTATTCTGCGAGACGACATTAGCTGGTGGTTTCATACTGAATTGCATTACAGGCAACGATAACGTGTGGAATGTGTACTGAGGTCAACAAAAGGAGTTAAATTGTCATTTCTTTGACACAAGTCACTCAAAAGAATTTAGATTGCAGTTTTCACAAATGGTGAAATGTCTTGCAAGGCCGGTGTATTGCATTGTATTGTGTTCTACAGGTGTTCATGACTGGATATCTACTCTTTCTATCCATCTCCCTTCCTCTGCGCTCTTTCAACAATGCAAGACTTCACAGTAAACAAAAATCCAGGCCAAGATTTTGTGGAAAGTAATTAGAGAGGCTAATAAATATGTCTTTGGAATTCAAAGGATGCCCAACATCCCAACATTTTGGCTCGGGAAAAAAAGACCTAAACCTTCCAATAAAAATACGACAGCCGTGCTCAAGCACAAAGTTGTCTCGCACACAACCCTCTGTCAAAAGCAGGAGAGCTCTTTCAATCGGGGCCTTTTAAGCGAGCCCAGCATCACGTACAAAACCCTGTACTGTGACGGTCCAACCTCAAAGGGCAGCAACAGTACAGCTTACCTAAATAAAGGTTAACACATTTCTGAGGTTAGCTTAGAATGAAACCGGCATTTACATCTTTACTACGGACAGTAGTTTCAACTCTTGTGTGTATCAGAGCTTTCAACGCTGTGACACAATTTGAAGAAAGGAGAGAGTTGTTTTCAGATTAGGATTTCCTTGTTGAGGGCCATTCGTCATCATATCACGCATCAACTAACCTGTAGTTGTACTGTACACATCTGTATTCATACTCATTTACATTTGCACAGCAACACTCACCCTCACTGTTAATATATTCTTCCCTGCTCAGTTACTGAATGGCACAATAAAGAAAACAAAACCAGAAAAACTAAGATTAAAAGCCACCCATCTTGTTGCTCTCTGGAACAAATCAGCCCAGCGGAGTTCCTCTCCGTGGAAGCCCTAATCCATAACATCTCTCCTTCTTCTCTTCGCTCCTCCAGCTGAGAAGGAAGCCTGCCCACGTCTCCCCGCAAGCTGTCACCAGGCAAAAGGGAGCGCATTCGCCCCATTTCCGAGCGGAGCCCCTTTCAAAACACTTCATTAACTGTGGCTGTGGTGTATTGCCAAGCAGTCGAAAGGAGCAGCCCTGTTTCCTTGCGCCCCTCTTGCCCACTGTGTGTTAATGTGAAATCTGTTGAGTCGGGGCTCTCCCGGGACCTCGCTGGAGCGGGGGTCCTTTGAGTTAGCTGCACAGCCACTTCTTTGAGCATCAACACAGTCCTGCTCTCCAGCCCGTGGGGACCTGCCGCTGTAGCAGAAGGTGCACAAGCAGAGGAAAGGGACAGGTGGAAGAGACAGGCCTCATCACACTCAATCAAAGTCGTGTCTATAGTTTTCGTTTGGAGACGCATAAATTCCCAACGCCAAACCTTCAGTTGGCACACGCAAAGAAATCCACCTGGTGAGGAACTGCAAAGTATATTTACTCTTCTGCTCGTAAAATTTAATTGCTAGCAGCGTGTGACAGTGTGAGCAACATTGATCACATAGATATGAACTACAGCGGGGATGTGGACTAGTGAGCTGAGGTACGACTGAAACCTACAGTGACGTGTATGTTTTGTCTGTGTGTGAGCTTTTAGTATCTCTGCAAGGACGAATTAGAGTAACTACGGCCATGAGACTGAGAACAGAATTAGGTGAAGGTAAGGGCAGGGGTTAGGCATTCAAACACGTATGTGTGCGCATGCATCAGAAAGAGTGATAAGCGTGGGAAAACACATTTCTGTGCCTTATCTTTACTTCTCACAGAACGCCCACCACTGAATGGGAATTACAACGCATCAACTTGTTGTATGATATTCTGACAGCTTCAGCTAGGGGAACGCTCACACATCCATTTGTTGCTGCAGTCTCTTAAATCTTCTGCAACCTACAAACTGGAGCTTTTTCAGCAGGTTTGCGTGGAGTCTCGAAAAGCGCAGGTGCAGAGCGGTAGGCTACGCAGCGTCGAAAGCGCATTCTGATCCATTTAGAATCTAAATCTAAATGATAGCCCTAGTACTAGTACTCCGACTAAAACTTCTTCAGTGTATTTGTGGAGCACCATGTGCAGTATTTGAGAGTCAGGAGCAATGGTACACCAAAGTTCAGCAAACACAGACAAGTGAACTGCACTGGTGTGTCAACAAGCATTTTTCCCTGGGGGGGGGCAGCAACAAGACAAGGAAACTACAGTGTGTCTATCAACCGCAGAGAACAAGAGGGAAAGCAATGTTAGAGATGACTTGGGTTAGAGTGTAGACCAAACCGTGGCTGAATAAGTAGGATGTGCAAAAGAAGGGTTTGAAACATAATGATATTTGGCGAGATAACCAACTCTAACAGGTAAAGTAATCCTCCTCTAGCAGCATCGAATCCCCTGAACACTCTTCTTACTCACATTTGAGTAAGAAGTACATTTGGAATCTCTCAAAGACAAAAGTCGATTCTCTCATTCCACACGTTGCACAAAGATGTCTGAAATAAATGAAACACGTTGCCTCGTCTGCGGCTTCTCGTGCACATCCTCCATGTTGTTTCATCTGTTTAGAGAGTGATGTCACACGACAGTGTCACTGTGAATGAGTGGTATCCAACGTCACCACATGAACAGATGGTGAATGCTATCCTCGCATAAAATAATTGAGAGATCAAACCGTCTACCCTGCTGGTTTCCTGGTGTCAACGCCAGCCAGTGGTGTATTGAAATCCAACGCTACGTAAAAACCAGACAAATCTCAGGTCTTGACATGCGTCTCAGGTCACAAACAAGTATCATGTTGGATGATGAGAGCCAGCAACAGCAAGAATTATGTCCTATACATTCCAGTTCATGCTGAGGAAAAACTCTTTGTGGTATTTCATAAGGACTGAAAGTCAGTGAAAGAGAGTCCATCATGTTTGCAGTAGTTCTACCATGTATGTACTACTCCAAACCTGCACTTGGGGAATCTAAAATCTCTGTGGTAGCTTTACTTTGAGGCTGGATTGTGAAACATTAAGTCAGAGATTTTATTGTCAGAAATATCCTTTGTACAAAGTGCACAACAGAGCAGCAGTTACCAAGTCAAAAAAAAACAAACAAGCACAAGGGTAGGACAGCTTAATCGAGCTGGATAAGGCTTCAGGTCTTATTTGACCC